CAGGAAATACTCAAGTAAAAGATGAAGCTGATGTACTTTGCACCTCTCTTCTTTCCTGCTACAATAGATCTATAACCCAAAGCTAGCCCATTGCCTAGATCAGCTTTCTTACCATTAGTGTGTTCGATAGTTGCTGAAGCTTATACAAAGTACATCCTTAAATACAACGTACTGACTTAAAAGCTGTATTTATTTTATATAAAAGTAGGTTTTTTCAAGGTTGTAACCTTAAGCAGTGAGTGAATTGATGCAGTATCCTCATTAGAAAGCATATTAGAGAAAAGCAAAAATAACAAGCCTTAGTTTGGTTGCAATATAATGCTCACATTTTCTCCATCTATGTTATGATAACAAGACCTTGGTAACAAGAAAAATCTGACACTGAAAAATGTTCATCTAGTCCAATGATAGCAAATGTCATACGCAAGAACTTAACCACATGCATTTTATCTTGTGATTCAGTGCAGTTACTTTCTTTTTTTTAAAGCATAACTAGCAATAGACTGTTCGAAGTGTTGGTTTGAGTGGGAAAATTTGGTGGGATGAATGACACTTTCTTGTACAAAATCACTTACACAGAAGTCTATTTGATGTTAATTTCCGTAGTGTTTTCATATAGCTCCTTCTTGTTTGCAGCTTGTTCTCATAGTTGTCCAGTAGCAAAGTAACGTATTTAAACTCAACTGTCATCTGCTCTAATGGGAAGACGTGCTGTAGGAAATGCTGAGGAGGAAAGACGGGCTGGAGTATGAAAGTCCCTACACCATCTCTGGAGATTGTTTAGGAATCTGTCCTTAATTTTGCTGTTAGACCTAAATAGCCATAGCACAGCATGCAGTGGCCAAATCTTCCTGCCCATGTAATAACTGGCATGCTTATTTCATAGTGAGTTGGCAGTGTTTGTCCCTGTATGCACTGTTCTTCACTCATAATGCTTCTAGGTCAAGACTAGCTGTTCTGACCCTCTAATATGTCAGATGTCTACTGTTTAATTTCGGTCATTATGTCACCTCTCTTCACCTGGGGAGTTAGCTCTAGAGAACTTGCTGAAACCTGAAAGTTCTTTACTGCCTTTACAGTTGTTTTTCTGGTTTGTAGGATTACTTGCACTTGTGAAGAAGCTTCATGTGTTGAAATGAGCAATTCCTTGTTCTTTGAGGTCAAGAACTTTATATAGTTAATTATCTTTAGTCAAGATCCTGTGTTTATCTCAGAGAAAAATTTTCAACAAAATGTTGTTAGGTTTGGGAAATCCATAGGGAACAATTCAGATTAAGTTTCAGTACTCAAAGTTTGCTAGCTTAGTATATGCTTACAAAGTAGTTTATTGTAACATTATGATGAAAATAAAGGCATCTGTTTCTCTAAATGTAATCTGATGAAACAAAATAAGGCACTGCAAGTGCTTTCATCACTAGTTGAATCATGCATTTAAGGAAGCAGATGGTGGTGGTGTGGCTAACAGTCTTGCTGGGGCCAAAAGTGAGTGAAATATGATTGATATAGTCAAACACTAAGCCAAATGTACGGAGATCTTGGGGGTGGACAGGGACACAAACCCACATAAGTCTTGTATTTCTTTAATTAATCTCTTGAGAACTGTCCTTTAGTGCTGACCCAACTTCAGTTTAGGTCCCATCCAGCTTAAGTGATCCCTATTGTGAAGCTTATAAATAGGGAAGTGTCTCATGAGATGATGCCTTCAGCTCACAACAAACTTAGATCCTGCATCACAGAGCTGGATGAAGTAATGTGGTACTTCGTCTCAACTTGAAGTTCGTGTTCTCTTGTTGAAGCCATTAGTAAAACTTGCACAGGCTTTGAGTTAAGACTTCAGCTGTTATTTTTCAAAGTTAAGATTATGCTAAGCAGTCTCAAAAATTTTACCTGACATAGTTAAGCATTTTTAGATTTCTTCTAAATGTATTTCAGAAAAAGCGGGGTTAACTGGTATTTTGTCTGAAACCTTCTGTTGACTTTTGTTCTGGTTCACTGGCCGTGCTAAGGAAAGGGTCGAAATTGCAATTAGAAGAAACACCAGTATGTCAGTAAACTTAAATCAGCTGAGTAATGGGCATGTCCTTGGGTTTCATCATATCTTGTTTTGGGGAACTCCAAAATAACAACATGAAAATAGACAATTTTTTTCCCCCTTTACAGGAACTGGCCGTATCTAGTCATTAATATTTGCACTGAGTACTTTTTCTTAAGGCTTGCTTATGTGGTCCAGTCTGTGAAGCTGAGGAGTTAATGTTTATGCTTGTAATCTAGTAAACCCTGGGGAGCATTCAGATACTAACATTTCTGCCTTCAGACACAGAAATAACACTGACTAAATCAGTATTTACACTTACCAACTCTGCTTTTAAATACAAGAGCTGTAGGAAAACTCTAAATAAAGATTTTTACCATTGCTGAAACATTCTTTTTGGCAATGGTAAATAAAAAATTTAATGGAAATTATAAAATCAGATAAACTATTTGTGCTCTTATATGTTGCATCTCAAGGAATACAGAATAGGTGGGAGTCTTACAAGATCAGCTGTGTTAGCCGGCTGCTGTTGAAAGGCGGTTGGATTTGGTCTCCCAGTTCCTCTACTTTAAATTCATGCAGCTTATGAAGACACAGTGTAGTTTAACTAGACAGAACCATGCCATCTCTACCTGGCTTAATACTGAGGACATGACAATGTGGACATATCTATGTAATGAATTCCAAGTACATATTGTAATTAAATCCATATTATAATTTATTATATGTGCCAGCTATAATAAAGCTAGCGTGATTATTTCTGCCCATGCTATAAATGGATTTACTTTCTGTGAAAGAACTACAGAAAATTAGATGACTGCTTTCCTAATAGACTTTGAAACTAACTTGAAATATTCTTTGTAATGCTGTTGTCTTCA